TGTGTCCCCCAGGGGCGTTTGTGTGTCCCCCAGGGCCGTGTGTGTGTCCCCCAGGGGCGTATGTGTGTCCCCCAGGGGCGTGTGTGTGTCCCCCAGGGGCGTGTGTGTGTCCCCCAGGGGCGTGTCCCCCAGGGGCGTGTGTGTGTCCCCCAGGGGCGTGTGTGTGTCCCCCAGGGGCGTGTGTGTGTCCCCCAGGGGCGTGTGTGTGTCCCCCAGGGGCGTGTGTGTGTCCCCCGGGGGCGTGTGTGTGTCCCCCGGGGACGTGTGTGTGTCCCCCAGGGGCGTGTGTGTGTCCCCCAGGGGCGTGTGTGTGTCCCCCGGGGGCGTGTGTGTGTCCCCCGGGGGCGTGTGTGTGTCCCCCGGGGGCGTGTGTCCCCCAGGGGCGTGTGTGTGTCCCCCAGGGGCGTGTGTGTGTCCCCCAGGGGCGTGTGTGTGTCCCCCAGGGGCGTGTGTGTGTCCCCCAGGGGCGTGTGTGTGTCCCCCAGGGGCGTTTGTGTGTCCCCCAGGGGCGTTTGTGTGTCCCCCTGGGGCGTTTGTGTGTCCCCCAGGGGCGTTTGTGTGTCCCCCAGGGGCGTTTGTGTGTCCCCCAGGGCCGTGTGTGTGTCCCCCAGGGCCGTGTGTGTGTCCCCCAGGGCCGTGTGTCCCCCAGGGGCGTGTGTGTGTCCCCCAGGGGCGTGTGTGTGTCCCCCAGGGGCGTGTGTGTGTCCCCCAGGGGCGTGTGTGTGTCCCCCAGGGGCGTTTGTGTGTCCCCCAGGGGCGTGTGTGTGTCCCCCAGGGGCGTGTGTGTGTCCCCCAGGGGCGTGTGTGTGTCCCCCAGGGGCGTGTGTGTGTCCCCCAGGGGCGTGTGTGTGTCCCCAAGGGGCGTGTGTGTGTCCCCCAGGGGCGTGTGTGTGTGCCCCAGGGGCGTTTGTGTGTCCCCCAGGGGCGTGTGTGTGTCCCCCATGGGCGTTTGTGTGTCCCCTAGGGGCGTGTGTGTGTCCCCCAGGGGCGTTTGTGTGTCCCCCAGGGGCGTGTGTGTCCCCCAGGGGCGTTTGTGTGTCCCCCAGGGCCGTGTGTGTGTCCCCCAGGGGCGTGTGTGTGTCCCCCAGGGGCGTGTGTGTGTCCCCCAGGGGCGTGTGTGTGTCCCCCAGGGGCGTGTGTGTGTCCCCCAGGGGCGTGTGTGTGTCCCCCAGGGGCGTGTGTGTGTCCCCCAGGGGTGTGTGTGTGTCCCCCAGGGGTGTGTGTGTGTCCCCCAGGGGCCTGTGTGTGTCCCCCAGGGGCCTGTGTGTGTCCCCCAGGGCCGTGTGTGTGTCCCCCAGGGGCGTGTGTGTCCCCCAGGGGCGTGTGTGTCCCCCAGGGGCGTGTGTGTCCCCCAGGGGCGTGTGTGTGTCCCCCAGGGGCGTGTGTGTGTCCCCCAGGGGCGTGTGTGTGTCCCCCAGGGGTGTGTGTGTGTCCCCCAGGGGTGTGTGTGTGTCCCCCAGGGGCCTGTGTGTGTCCCCCAGGGGCCTGTGTGTGTCCCCCAGGGCCGTGTGTGTGTCCCCCAGGGCCGTGTGTGTGTCCCCCAGGGGCGTGTGTGTCCCCCAGGGGCGTGTGTGTCCCCCAGGGGCGTGTGTGTCCCCCAGGGGCGTGTGTGTCCCCCAGGGGCGTGTGTGTCCCCCAGGGGCGTGTGTGTCCCCCAGGGGCGTGTGTGTCCCCCCCCCCAGGGGCGCGTGTGGGGTGTACTATGGACAGTTGTGTGGTGTCCTCCCTCGCTCTGAATATATATTGCAATGTTCAATTTTATGTTGTGATGTTGCCTCGCTCCTGGTGCTGTTGTGTGTGTGTACTCACCTAGTTGTGCTTGCGGGGGTTGAGCTCTGGCTCTTTGGTCCCGCCTCTCAACCGTCAATCAACAGGTGTACAGGTTCCTGAGCCTACTGGGCTCTGTCATATCTACACTTGAAACTGTGTGTGGAGTCAACCTCCACCACATCACTTCCTAATGTGTTTGTGTGTGTGTGTGTGTGTGTGTGTGTGTGTGTGGTGTGTGTGTGTGTGTGTGTGTGTGTGTGTGTGTGTGTGTGTGTGTGTGTGTGTGTGTGTGTGTGTGTGTGTGTGTGTGTGTGTGTGTGTGTGTGTGTGTGTGTGTGTGTGTGTGTGTGTGTGTGTGTGTGTGTGTGATCTTTAGCTGTTGGTGAGGGACCCGAGCTCCAGCTCCTGGGCCTCGACTTTCTGGTGTGGGTTGTGTGAAGCAGTGAGGTGTTGATGTGGTGAGCACGGGTTGTGTAGTGACCACACACACACACACACACACACACACACACACACACACACACACACACACACACACACTTCCAATTGACTTTCAACTATTGTACTTGGTTCATGGGACAAGTTTTGTCTCTATATTTTGGTTTCCTCCAAATGTTAAAAGCAATTTTGAGGAATTATGTGGTTTAATATGACCCGTTAACAGAGACAAGCGCCGGACTGCTCTGGCTGTGTGCTGGCCTGCCTGTGCTGCCGGAGGTTGACCTGCAGCTCCTGGGCTCCAGCACTGAAATTGGTGTATGAAATTGGTACTAGGCGTACCCTCTTGATCTATTGGTACTAGGCGTACTCTCTTGATCTATTGGTACTAGGCGTACCCTCTTGACCTGTTGGTACTAAGGGTCAACATTGCCTCTTGCCAATAGTCATTGTCTTGTCAATGTCTTGTCACTTACCGCTGCTGGAGTGATGGCGTCTCAGATCTTCTTAAAATAGTTTTACGGTCGTCATCTGCCGCGAGTCTTCATTCATTGGTAACATGTGCAGCGAGACGTGTGGGCGTCTACCCTCCCTGTGTGTGTGTGTGTGTGTGTGTGTGTGTGTGGGGAGGCCAGGCCTTGACCACTGGTCAAGGCCTGGCCTCCCCACACCACTGGTCAAGGCCTGGCCTCCCCACACCACTGGTCAAGGCCGGGCCTCCCCACACCACTGGTCAAGGCCTGGCCTCCCCACACCACTGGTCAAGGCCTGGCCTCCCCACACCACTGGTCAAGGCCCCCCTCCCCCCCCCCCCCACCACTGGTCAAGGCCTCCCCCTCCCCCCCACCACTAGTCAAGGCCTCCCCCTACCACTGGTCAAGGCCTCCCCCTCCCCCCCACCACTAGTCAAGGCCTCCCCCCACCACTGGTCAAGGCCTCCCCCCACCACAATAAGTGGATAAAATAACAGCTGCTCTGTTCTGATATTGCTAGGATATAAAAGGTTAAAATCAACACCCAATTTCGCTCTGGCCACATATTCCCGGGCAACATAGTGTCCGGACAATGGCCGCACCTATGCAAAATGGCTCCAAATTTCGTTTTGACTCTGGCCAAGTTGAGTTACGGTTTCATAAGCTCAAAATAATGCACAACAAATTAGCCCGCTGACAAAATTGGGCCATTTGACCCGGAGTGGGGGAGCAGGAGGGGCTTGGAGGAGTGGCCGCGGATGGTCGGGAGTGAGGCAGAGGGACGCGGGAATGTCGACCATAAGGACCCCGTACCTCACTGCTCTTATAACAGGGTGCTACAGTGGCCGTTTTAAATGCTTCAAGTGGGTACCGGGAGCACCTACCGGGAAGGGGGGGAAGAGGAAGGGTACCTGGGGTACTTGTCTCTACATGGTGAGGGGGGGTGGGGGGGTGGCAGCTGTCTCACCACTTAACTGTCTCTAAGTGGTGAAGGGCCTTCCCGCGCCCACTAACAACCCCAGTACCCTCAAGGCAACCCCCAGTAACCCTGCCAGTACCTACAGCACTCAGTACCCCAGGTAATCCTCCCAGTATCCCAGTAATCCTCCCAGTACCTCAGTAATCCTCCCAGTACCCCAGTAATCCTGCCAGTACCCCAGTAATACTGCCATTAAACCTCCCAGCACCCCAGTAAACCTCCCAGTTCCCCAGTAATCCTCCCAGTACCCCAGTAATCCTACCAGTAAATCTCCCAGCACCCCAGTAACCCCGCCAGTACCCCAGTAATCCTGCCAGTAAACCTCCCAGTACCCCAGTAAACCTCCCAGCACCCCAGTAATCCTGCCAGTAAACCCAGCACCCCAGTAACCCTGCCAGTACCCCAGTAATCCTGCTAGTAAACCTCCCAGTACCCCAATAATCCTGCCAGTAAACCTCCCAGTACCCCAGTAATCCTGCCAGTACCCCAGTAATCCTCCTAGTACCCCAGTAATCCTGCCAGTACCCCAGTAATCCTGCCAGTAAACCTCCCAGTACCCCAGTAATCCTACCAGTAAACCTCCCAGCACCCCAGTAACCCTGCCAGTACCCCAGTAATCCTGCCAGTAAACCTCCCAGTACCCCAGTAAACCTCCCAGCACCCCAGTAATCCTGCCAGTAAACCCAGCACCCCAGTAACCCTGCCAGTACCCCAGTAATCCTGCTAGTAAACCTCCCAGTACCCCAATAATCCTGCCAGTAAACCTCCCAGTACCCCAATAATCCTGCCAGTAATCCTCCCAGTACCCCAGTAATCCTCCCAGTACCCCAGTAATCCTGCCAGTAAACCTCCCAGTACCCCAGTAATCCTCCCAGTACCCCAGTAATCCTCCCAGTACCCCAGTAATCCTACCAGTAAACCTCCCAGCACCCCAGTAACCGTGCCAGTACCCCAGTAATCCTACCAGTAAACCTCCCAGTAATCCTACCAGTAAACCTCCCAGAACCCCAGTAATCCTGCCAGTACCCCAGTAATCCTGCCAGTACCCCAGTAGTCCTCCCAGTACCCCAGTAATCCTGCCAGTAATCCTCCTAGTACAAGCGCCAGTACCCCTCCCAGTACCCCAGTAATCCTCCCAGTACCCCAGTACGAGTGCCAGTACCCCAGTAATCCTCCCAGTACCCCAGTACGAGTGCCAGTACCCCAGTAATCCTCCCAGTACCCCAGTACGAGTGCCAGTACCCCAGTAATCCTCCCAGTACCCCAGTACGAGTGCCAGTAACCCAGTAATCCTCCCAGTACCTGTGCCAGTACCCCAGTGACAGGAGTACACCTTACAGAGTACATCCGCCACGCGCCCTGCATGAGACAAGTGAACCCCAAGTACAACCAGTGCTCCGAGGTCTACCACCAGAAGACTGCCGGACTCAACCAGGTGGACGACGCCGCCGTCCAACTCAGCGAGGAACAGAAGAACAAGAACGTCATCACACTCTGCTGGTTAGTGTCCCCCCCCTGGTGGTTAGTGTCACCCCCCTGGTGGTTAGTGTCATCCCCCCTGGTGGTTAGTGTCACCCCCCTGGTGGTTAGTGTCACCCCCCTGGTGGTTAGTGTCATCCCCCCTGGTGGTTAGTGTCACCCCTGGTGGTTAGTGTCACCCCCTGGTGGTTAGTGTCACCCCCCTGGTGGTTAGTGTCACCCCCCTGGTGGTTAGTGTCACCCCCCTGGTGGTTAGTGTCACCCCCTGGTGGTTAGTGTCATCCCCCTGGTGGTTAGTGTCACCCCCCTGGTGGTTAGTGTCACCCCCCTGGTGGTTAGTGTCACCCCCCTGGTGGTTAGTGTCACCCCCCTGGTGGTTAGTGTCACCCCCCTGGTGGTTAGTGTCACCCCCCTGGTGGTTAGTGTCACCCCCCTGGTGGTTAGTGTCACCCCCCTGGTGGTTAGTGTCACCCCCCCTGGTGGTTAGTGTCACCCCCCCTGGTGGTTAGTGTCACCCCCCCTGGTGGTTAGTGTCACCCCCCCTGGTGGTTAGTGTCACCCCCCTGGTGGTTAGTGTCACCCCCCTGGTGGTTAGTGTCACCCCCCTGGTGGTTAGTGTCACCCCCCTGGTGGTTAGTGTCACCCCCCTGGTGGTTAGTGTCACCCCCTGGTGGTTAGTGTCACCCCCTGGTGGTTAGTGTCACCCCCAGGTGGTTAGTGTCACCCCCCTGGTGGTTAGTGTCACCCCCCTGGTGGTTAGTGTCACCCCCCTGGTAGTTAGTGTCACCCCCCTGGTGGTTAGTGTCACCCCCCCTGGTGGTTAGTGTCACCCCCTGGTGGTTAGTGTCACCCCCTGGTGGTTAGTGTCACCCCCAGGTGGTTAGTGTCACCCCCCTGGTGGTTAGTGTCACCCCCCTGGTGGTTAGTGTCACCCCCCTGGTGGTTAGTGTCACCCCCCTGGTAGTTAGTGTCACCCCCCTGGTGGTTAGTGTCACCCCCCTGGTGGTTAGTGTCCCCCCTGGTGGTTAGTGTCACCCCCCCTGGTGGTTAGTGTCACCCCCCTGGTGGTTAGTGTCACCCCCCTGGTGGTTAGTGTCACCCCCCTGGTGGTTAGTGACACCCCCCTGGTGGTTAGTGTCACCCCCTGGTGGTTAGTGTCACCCCCTGGTGGTTAGTGTCACCCCCAGGTGGTTAGTGTCACCCCCCTGGTGGTTAGTGTCACCCCCCTGGTGGTTAGTGTCACCCCCCTGGTAGTGTCACCCCCCTGGTGGTTAGTGTCACCCCCCCTGGTGGTTAGTGTCACCCCCCTGGTGGTTAGTGTCACCCCCTGGTGGTTAGTGTCACCCCTGGTGGTTAGTGTCACCCCCAGGTGGTTAGTGTCACCCCCCTGGTGGTTAGTGTCACCCCCCTGGTGGTTAGTGTCACCCCCCTGGGGGTTAGTGTCACCCCCCTGGTAGTTAGTGTCACCCCCCTGGTGGTTAGTGTCACCCCCCTGGTGGTTAGTGTCCCCCCTGGTGGTTAGTGTCACCCCCCTGGTGGTTAGTGTCACCCCCCTGGTGGTTAGTGTCACCCCCCTGGTGGTTAGTGTCACCCCCAGGTGGTTAGTGTCACCCCCCAGGTGGTTAGTGTCACCCCTCAGGTGGTTAGTGTCACCCCTCAGGTGGTTAGTGTCACCCCCAGGTGGTTAGTGTCACCCCCCAGGTGGTTAGTGTCACCCCCAGGTGGTTAGTGTCACCCCCAGGTGGTTAGTGTCACCCCCAGGTGGTTAGTGTCACCCCCCTGGTGGTTAGTGTCCCCCCTGGTGGTTAGTGTCACCCCTGGTGGTTAGTGTCACCCCCAGGTGGTTAGTGTCACCCCCTGGTGGTTAGTGTCACCCCCTGGTGGTTAGTGTCACCCCCCCTGGTGGTTAGTGTCACCCCCCCTGGTGGTTAGTGTCACCCCTGGTGGTTAGTGTCACCCCCCTGGTGGTTAGTGTCACCCCCCCTGGTGGTTAGTGTCACCCCTGGTGGTTAGTGTCATCCCTTGGTGGTTAGTGTCACCCCCCTGGTGGTTAGTGTCACCCCCCTGGTGGTTAGTGTCACCCCCCTGGTGGTTAGTGTCACCCCCTGGTGGTTAGTGTCACCCCCCTGGTGGTTAGTGTACCCCTGCCCCCTGGTGGTTAGTGTCACCCCCTGGTGGTTAGTGTCACCCCCCTGGTGGTTAGTGTCACCCCCCTGGTGGTTAGTGTCCCCACTGGTGGTTAGTGTCACCCCCTGGTGGTTAGTGTCACCCCCTGGTGGTTAGTGTCACCCCTCTGGTGGTAAGTGTCACCCCCCTGGTGGTTAGTGTACCCCTGCCCCCTGGTGGTTAGTGTCACCCCCTGGTGGTTAGTGTCACCCCCCTGGTGGTTAGTGTCACCCCCCTGGTGGTTAGTGTACCCCTGCCCCCTGGTGGTTAGTGTCACCCCCTGGTGGTTAGTGTCACCCCCTGGTGGTTAGTGTATCCCCCCTGGCAGTTAGTGTCAACCCTGGTGGTTAGTGTATCCTGTTCCCCTGGTGGTTAGTGTATCCTGCCCAATGGTGGTTAGTGTATCCTGCCTAATGGTGGTTAGTGTATCCTGCCCAATGATGGTTAGTGTATCCTGCCTAATGATGGTTAGTGTAGCCTGCCTAATGGTGGTTAGTGTATCCTGCCTAATGGTGGTTAGTGTATCCTGCCCAATGATGGTTAGTGTATCCTGCCTAATGATGGTTAGTGTATCCTGCCCAATGGTGGTTAGTGTATCCTGCCTAATGGTGGTTAGTGTATCCTGCCTAATGGTGGTTAGTGTATCCTGCCCAATGGTGGTTAGTGCCCCCTGTTCCCTCCCTCCCTCTGGTGGTTTCCAAAACTCGGGACCCAATCATATGCCCATGTACCAGCCTCATTATATCCTAACTAGTAAGTTACAAGTCTAAATACATTGTGGCAAGTAACAATCTTTGACTGAAATGTTTGTTTCAGTTCATTCCAGGAATACCTTCAGTGCTCGGAGCGGGTAGTATACGAGACTTGTGGGAACGAGACGGCACTCTTCACCAAGGAGTTCCTGGACCGTATGGCTGGACCCATTGTCCAGGTGAGACCATCTCTCTCTCTCTGTCCTCTTCTGTTTAGCGGCTTCCTGGGGGCAGCTTCGTAACACAAGTCGGGGGATGGCGGGGAAGGTGTGCTTGGAGATGCAATGTTTTCCACTTTTGAGACTTAATTTTGTTCAGCCACTATTAATCTGAACTTTACTTTTGTAAAGTATTTTTTTAGAAATATTACCTCTTTATTGTTGATTGCTTAGCTGTTATAATTAACATCTTTACTCTTGATTTACATACAGTATATTATTAATTAACTTTACAGACAGGTAAAATATATTTCTAGTAGCAAGTTATATATATATCACTCCAGTCAGCACTGTGATTGCAATTAATGACCATAACTGTAGGTATTATACAGTAAACTATACAACATTGTATTAGCAAATGATTCATAACGTATCGTTAACTAAAATGTAACTTCTCTAAGGAAACTTGTCAAAAGCCTTATGTGGGTCAACAAATACACTTATTGGGTACTCATTTTTGTCAAGAGCTGCATTTATCAGGTCAAGCATATTAAAGCATCATTAGTGCATCTTTGGCATCTGAAGTCATATTGGCAAGAGCTAAGTATGTATGTCATGTTTATTTAGGTAGGAGTAATGCTGTTTGTACATTTGATAACTTGTGAGCATGATAGCTGTTGGGGGTAGGAAATTGCAGTGTCACCACCACCTCTGGATTGGTCTGCGGTGGTTGAATACTGCAGAACTGTTCAAGCTGAGTAGTTCCGCAGTTGTTCAAGCTGAGTAGTTGAATATGTTAGGTAGTTGGATAAAGTACAGTCGGCTTTGTTCTCGACTCACTATTCGGAATTCCGAGTTCAAATCCCAGGCGGAACAAATGGTTTGGTGCATTTCCTTTAACTTAATGCATCTGTTCACCTAGCGGTAAATAATCCCAAGCCCAATGTACCCAAGAGTTAATCAGCTTGTTGTGGGATTGCATCCTGTGAGTCTGACCTTGATGGGGAGGGAGACCTTGATATAATCCTAACATGTAAATATACATTGGCTACCTGTCCTCTGACACAACGAATTTTAACTATGTCTCCTTACCTACCTTGAGGTGCTTCCAGGGCTTAGCGTCTCCGCGGCCCGGTCGTCGACCAGGCCTCCTGGTTGCTGGACTGATCAACCAGGCTGTTGGACGTGACTGCTCACAGCCTGACGTATGAGTCACAGCCTGGTTGATCAGGTATCCTTTGGAGGTGCTTATCCAGTTCTCTCTTGAACACTGTGAGGGGTCGGCCAGTTATGCCCCTTATGTGTAGCGGAAGCGTGTTGAACAGTCTTGGGCCTCTGATGTTGATAGAGTTCTCTCTCAGAGTACCTGTTGCACCTCCGCTTTTCAACGGGGGTATTCTGCACATCCTGCCATCTGCTACAACATCCTGTCTCTGTTAATAAAACAAAATAAAATCTTGTTTAGTACTTGCAGTAAGGCACTATTATCATCATTATGTTTACTTAGTGACATCTGCACAAATAAGCAATTAGAAGAATAACAAATTTCAATTGTGGACTATTCAAATCTCTTACTGAAGTCCTTAAATATGTTAAATAGCAAGTCACTGCACACACTCCATAGTGTACTATGGAGTATGTCTATATCTATAAAACTCTGAACAGCAATAGTAATCCTGATCCCAAGCACTTGCTAGAGGGCTGCAACAGAACCTGTGGGTACCACACGAAAAATAGATAATTACCAGTACCGGTATTTGACATTCCAAGAGTGTGATTTAACCAAAGAAATGTCTTGCAATTTAAAGTTCCTAAACTGTGGAATGACCTCCCAAATGAGATTGAAAACTGTACTTCTCTCAATTTAAAATTAGGAACTAAACCATTCTTAATTAACATTATGTAACTAGTTTTACTCACATTTCCTAACCCTACATGTCAACCCGTGTTTTGGTGTTAGTGTCAACATTAATTACTATAAATTGTCAACCACATCATCATGGAAATAAACACTTCATTCACTTGGGCACTGGGAGACTCAAACTCTCGACCCCACGAGCATGAGACAAAAGCTCTTCCTGTAGACCAAAGATTTGCAGATGGCTCTAATACAGAAGATTTCCGAGGCAGCAAACCACTGGCTATCTGAAATGTTATACTTCTCCCAGCCACTGCTTAGGTCCAAGGCAAGTGCCTGGAAGAAATATAAAATTTCAAATAAGCAGCAGCTTGCTGTTTCTGAACTCTTCTCCACTGTACCCATCTGTGTGGTCTAGAGGTAGAACTTTTGCCTCACGCTCCTGAGGGTCGAGAGTTTGAGTCTCCCAGTGACCAAGTGAATGAAATTACTGTAATTACTATATATGGTTTATTTCTAAAAACTAATTTCTAAATACAGTATCACTTAAAATTTTTAAATCTTTGTTAAATCTCTTTAACAATTCAAATATGTTAACGTCTTGTTTAGTTTTAGGTGTTACCCTATTAAATTTAAAATAAATTACCTAATTATGTTATTCCCGAAGCACTCTGTATATTAGTGGTGTTATATAACGTACATTGTTTAACCTACTTATTCTCAACTATCATATACTGTATCAAATGAATATACTGTACTTTCATAAATAAAATATTATTAGTTATCAGTTATAACTGCAAGATCTAACAAGGCTCTTTATCAGCACTGGGGCTATGTTTTATATTTTCAAAGAGAGTTATGATAAAGCCCAAGAGTGTCAGTATTTATTGCATCAAACTAGTTGTAGGGTGGGGCCCAGGAGCTAGAACTCAAATACCAGGAGAACAGCTAAGTAAAAAGACAAATCTATGATGCTTTACCTCAGACAGACCCAAAGTCAAAACCAATTTGTTACTGTGTGTGCCCGAGACAGCTTACTCAGGCCCTCACCCTGGTGGCCATATAGTACTGCTCAACTGATTCTCAGCGATGTAGTGATTACACTAATTGTTAAGAGTTTGTATGCTTGCTAGAGTGAAAAGTCTCTGATATATTTGTTGGTTAAATAAAATAACTTGGTATTTTCTGGGAAGCAAAAGTGGACAACATTTACTGCAGACTTTAAGTGCATTGGAATGGTACAATATTATTTTACTCTCTTTAGTATGGTCTTTCATTCTGTAATTTGAGTGGTGTAGAGGACTGGTGATATTTTGGATCATGCTGGCATGTTAAGTATTGGTTAAAAGAAGGCACCAAGCCAGGAAGACCAGTTTCATCTATATCGCAGGATATTTTGATCCCAAATGTGATTCGGGAAGCCAATACTAGAGCAAAAGGACATTAGAGGAACAAATCCACAAGGGCTGTGACAAGGATTTGAACCTGCGTCCAGGAGCATCCCAGACACTGCCTTAATCGACTGAGCTACAACAAGGTTAAAAAGAGTTGAAACCGAAGTTCTACTGAACAAGGGCCGTGACGGCCCTTGTGGATTTGTTTATTTGACGCTTCACGTTAGTGTGATTTCTGTGTGTAATGATATAAGGGTGAAGAGGGAGAACGGTCTATTGACATAGCTCAAGTGCAGGGGGGAGTTGTGTAAAACCCTGGTTTGTGCCTCGGAGAGGCTGCGGGATCCAGTAAGTTCAGTAGAACTTCGGTTTCAACTCTCTTTAACCCTGTCGTAGCTCAGTAGGCAGTGTCTGGGATGCTCCGGACGCAGGTTCAAATCCTCGTCACGGCCCTTGTGGATTTGTTATTTGATGCATCACATTAGTGTGATTTCTGTATGTAACATTAGATGATTAACAACAAAGATATCAAATTCATAATGGGTCTTATCGAGAGACAAGTGATTCAAAGAGAGACTGGGAAGCAAGATGCTGGCATATTAGTGGAGTGTTGCTGCATCGGACTGGAAAACAAATTTTCAGATCCAGGTAGTTTGTTTATTTATCCAGTTAGTTAAAAATGCATTACCAAGTAATGCATTTTTACCTTTGGTCCATTTAGAAGTTATTCACGTTCACTAATTTGGTACTTTATTTGCTAATTGGGGATATAATAATAATAATAATAATAATAATAATAATAATAATAATTGAACACTGGTTCAAGTCCCTGCATTGTTCCAAATGATTTTATCAATAATAAAAATAATAATAATAATAATAATAATAATAATAATACAAATATTATATTCATGCAATAGACAATAAATTGTATGTGTAAAGGGGTTACATAGTAGATAAAAAATAATATTATATAAAGCCACAAGTTACATACAACAACATTTCCAGCATAACTTAAACCATTTTAGTTCATTTATTTTAGATTTACTGACTAGGGTAACAAATAATACTATATAAAAGGGAAGTTAACATATAAGAATTGTTGAAGCAATTAAGCAAATAATACACATTATAGTAAGAAATACTTAAGACTATGCCTTTCAACATTAACATTACCATCACTAAAACTACAGATGTAGTTTTAGTGATGGTAAACACATACAGTATTAATATCAATAAAGACATCAACACACAAATTTGCAAAGCTAATTTGCATAATTGATAATGAAATTTATGTAACAAGGGGGAAGAAAAATGTCATTGGGAAGTCTTGACGGTAATTTAGATAGAAAATTAGCAGGATTATCTGATGCCTTATAATATACTTTTCTTGGTGTGACCCGCCAAACACACACACCGAAACTACGACGTTGGTACAACGTTCGAACAAGTTTTAACACCTAACAAGTTATAACAACCAATACAGTATAGCAAGTTGTAACAACGTTCTTATACATCATAAACACGTTAAGCCAAGATGTAACAACATTATTATAAGTTGTAACAAGCTGAAAATAGAGACAGTTTCGGTTTGTGTTTCCAGGGGAGAGCTTTGTTGGTTATCATAAACCATGCCACAATTATTGTGATTGCATTTCTAAATATAGTTAAACTAATACATTCATTCATTCTTCTTTCATAATTCCCACCAAAAGGATAGCAAGGTAAGACAGGACTCACCCATGTCCAGTTCTCCCCCTCCTTCCCTCCCAATATTACCAACCCATAACCCTCACCCACCTTCCCTACCCACCTTTCATTTATCACTTCTCTTGTTCTACATGTCATGTAGCTCCTCACCAAGTTCTTCTCGCATGCATGATGTGTTCAATAATTACTCATTTCATCATGCTTGTCATCTCACACCACCACAGTATGACCTGTATATTTGTCATCCCAATGCACCACTGGACAACCCTCGGGCTTCCTTGAGGGTAGTACCTACCAACGGCTGCATGACTTCTTTCATTCGTGTGATGATTGTTGTATGTCTATCAACAGTACTGTATCACCGATGCAAGTTTACTGGGGTGGGGGGTCACTGACCTGCTGCTGTTTTAGTTGCTTTTATAACATTTAATAGTGATTATATGCAGATATCAGTATGTTGTAACCCCTCATACATGCTGAGATGTGTACAGTCACATTCCATTACTGGAGGTGCTTACTGTACAAAAGAGAGGACGTTACTCTGTTTTAATGTTTCATGTCTGAATGTTGCTACTGTACTTATTTTTATGTAAGCAATCTATCCATGCAATGATCTGACTTAATTATGTTAATTTTAGTTATTTTGAATAGTTACAGAATGCAGTCAGTCACATTATAGCCCCTCACTGTTTTGTGTTGCAGGATCTATGTCAAGCTTTTTCCTTTTCATTGCATTCATGCTTGCAAGAATCCTCCACTGCCTCTCCAGGGATATCTCCTCAAGCTGCTGTTTTCTTCCTGAACAAGGCTTCCTCGTGGTCTGGCCAAGAGACGAGGAACAGCAGCGTGGACAGCAGTCATACTGTAGAGAGCCTTTCCAGAGACTCTTCTCATCATACTGCTGAGAGTAATGCTTTGGTTTTGTCAAGTAATCCACAGGAGGATCATAGACCTTACTTTAAGTCATCTCTCAGGCAGTCTCTCCAATCCAAGACGGGGCAAGCTCTAATGAACTCTCGTACTAAACTCGATCCAACCAATGAGCCACTTCCCACATTGGTCTTCACGCATGGCACCACTGTCAGGCCTCCCACATTGCCCCCTCTCCCTCCTATATCGCCAACAAGCAGTGACGCCTCACCAGTGAATGCAGACACCACTACAACTTTTCGATCCTTAACACAAAAATCAAAAACACAAACTCTGTACTCAAAAAAAATCTTAATCAAAGAGGCAGATTCCAGTTCTTCAGCAATGGTAGAGTTGCCTGTTATCACCAGTCCAGTAATCCACTCTACGCATCATAGACTTAAGACTCGAGATTTGCATGATAAGGAAGAACAGAATTTGTCTACAAACATAGAGCAGTTTATTGTTCATCCAGTGCCTCTTGGCTCAGATGATGTGCAACATGAGCATGAAAAGTTTGATAATACAACAAACCTTAATGCTAGCCACAGTGCAGCCTTACTACAAGACCAGCTTTTAACATCTTTAGTCAAACTTGTCAACAATGCTTCATCTTTATCAACTGAGCAGGCAGACAGCTCGGTATTAACACAAATCTCTGAAAGTTCTCATTTGAATGCTGAAAATTCAGCCTCTCTTTCTTTTTCGACTTCATTTCTGCCCAATTCTTCCATCAGCCCACCTTCATTTTCATATAAAAGACGTAGACCGCCATCAGGTGTGGCTAAATATAGAAGATTGATGAACCTTCACAGACCTGAAGCAGTGAAGAATCATGAATTAGAGTTCATTAACACAACTACAAGATATCCTCCCCGCATTCCAGTGACTGGAGGCAGTACTACAGTGGCCAATGATGAGAGAGAAAAGCACATTACTTTGGAAACTGATCACCCTCATTCATTAGGTTCTTCACGAAACATGACATTGTTACCAAGACGCCGACCTCGCATCAGACACTCGTGGAGACATTTCCATCCACGATCTGGCCGACAAAGGTCCAGGTGGCAAACCAAGCCAAATTTTGTGAGCCAAGAATCCTTTAGGAGAAATTCTCAGAATATGACAATCACAACTGGTAAAGATGAAAGATTTGTGAAAGAAAGGCCAAATCACAGACCAAAGTGGCCTGTTAGAAGACGCCCTTTGCCCGAGGCCCACTGGTCTAATTCAACAGAAACGCCTGTAGAAGAAGATGAGGCACACTTGCAATACCAACATGGTAATGAATCAGAATATGCAAATGGAACCTCTGAAAGTGCAATTGTAGAACCAAAATTGAAACAAGAAATAGAACACCTAAAAACTGCATCAAATGAATCTATGAAAGTTGCCAGCCACCCAGAAGTTTTGAAGTCTGCCAGCCACCCAAAGCCTGGGACTAGGGATTTTAGCACAAATGGCACAATTTTCTTTAGGCAAGCTGGAAACGGGATTAATTCCAACAAGTTCCCACGAAAACTTGGAAAAAGAGGACCCTATCAGAACAGAAGGCCACTTCAAAACAGACAGTGGCATTCAAGATTCCTAAGAAGAAGAAAAAATGGCAGAGGAAAAACTCCAAGCCGACAGAGAGAAGAAATATCCTCCGATAGCATAGGTATCCCTGAGGAAGCCCACATGGATAAGATAAATACACATCAACCTCACAATGGAGCAGAACAGGTAACAAGTCGTACTATATCCACAACTGAATTCCAAGAAGAATCTGTCCAAACAAATTTTTCTGTTATCTTGCCAACTTCTGAATCAAATAAAAATAGTTCTAAAACAAGAATGAGTGAATCTCCAGATGGTCCTGTGACCATCACAGAGTCACCAAGTTATGGTCATGTCACCACCATAACACAATCGACAAGCGAGGGTTATACGACTCCAAACATTGGCAGTTATTTAGATAAAGCAGAAAAAACGAGAGTGAGAGGTATTGCAGCTGAGGGTGATACAACTATGGTGGAGACAGTCAAGCCGGATAAAGTAACAGAAAATAACAAAAGTATTGTTACTTTTGAAAATAATGATGATAATGATGAGTCTTATGATGAATATCACTACAGTGATCATGATATTGATGGATTTGAGGAACATCATACAGAAAAAAATAGTAATTGTCACACAGCAAAGAAGCAGGGTATAAAACATGACGATTCTAATTTTGTGAATGCAGACAATAGAAGTGTAATATTCGATCCTGCCACACCCAAGGCAAGCCATGAGCATGATAAGTTCAAATTACTTAATATGACACAATTATCTAACACTTCTGGAACCTCTGAACATGACAAAAATGATGTTAAATATTATAAGGGTGGTTACAATTGCAACACGCATGAGGTTCATACATCCGTGTCTAAAACCTCAAACTCTCATGGCACAGATAATGAGAGAGAACTTCATAATATGGATGATAAAATTGTTTTAAGACCAAAACAGTTCACAAGACCTAATGAAGATGACTTTGTAGAGGTGAGAGCTACTGAAGATGGGCTACTAATAGGAAGTGGTGAAAATGGGTCGATAATAGGAAGTGGTGAAAATGAGCTGCTAATAGAAAGTGGTGAAATTAGTGACACACTTCCTACCTCATCAGCCGAGGTGTTTTATTTGTGGTTCCGAAATCGTCTTGAGGAAGAAGTTAAAGAGGCAGTGATCCCTGCCCCAACTCCCGTTCCCTACGTTATCCAGCTCAGAAAGGAACAAGAAACTAAGGACAGGCCATCAGCCAACTTTGACCCCGTAATCTTGGATATTTTGGAATCCGATTTTATTCCATTGGTGAATCCAGGCCCAAGAAATATCGATAATGGTGAGCATCCTGATGATATTAACAGATTGAAAATTGATATGCCAGCAAATGAGTATGTCTCATCACATGCTAAAACTGGTAACACAAAGGACGAAGCTCACCTTCAGACTCTAAAGGATTTGACTCCTCATACCACAAGCTCTGAAAAGTCTAAACAAACAATGCAGGTTGGGCAGCCAGATACACTAACAAGCAATAATAGTGAAGATGGTATAAGGAACATGGAAGAAAATTTGACTAGGAAACAAAAGTCAAAACACTCGGAGCATGTGATAAACAGAGAGACTAAAATTAAATCTGAAGAAGGTACGAAAAAGATTCTGGATGAAGCGACTGCGTTTTCATTGAAAGATGCCCTTCGCCTCGAACCCAGCTCCCACATACCTGGAGAAACTATATCACAAAGTCCTGTATTGACCAATGATACTGACACACATACAAACCTTACTACCATTTCTTCAAATACAAAGATTGATGAGTGGATGGAAACTCATAAAGGTCAAACTGCAGGTGAGGTTGCCAGAGCAAAGTTTCCTGCTGTTTTACCAACTCATGTAACAGGAGGCACATCAACCAGGATTATTACAAATTTTACTAGAAGACCAAATAGCACATATAATGAGACCACTGGTGTAATTCAAACCTTTTCCACCCCCGATGATACGCAGACAGCAGCAGGTGCGGGCAGCAGGGACACCGGGCAGCAGCACACTACAGAGGAACAACTACTTCATACTGACGAGAGAAATTTAACTGAAATTTTAGAATCTAACACGAGAGATAAAGCTGCAACTGTTGAAAGCAACCTCACCAGTACTGAGGATGTGCAGGTAGTGAGAGATGACCACCAGGGTGAGTGGGACCAAGTTACTTCTGGCAGCCATCCCAGCTCTGCTGCGACAATCACTTTTTCTCTGTTCAAAATGATAATTTTGTCTGTATTTTGTATGTGGGTTATTTTATGATACTCACTCTTGGCTTCCTAGGAGCTAAATGAGCTAATATAATTGATTTTTGGAGTGTTTAAGTAACTGATATACAGTATCTCTTTTTCAAAGCTAATTTATGAGGTATCATGAAAATGTGACATTTGGCTTGAATACTTACACACATGTTTGTGTAAACAATACCTTCTGATGGAATTTCCTAGTGTTCTCTTATATTGTGAGAAGCCTAAACCAGTATTACCCCCACTGAGAGGCAATTGATAATTGGATTTTGTTACATTGATGGCTGCAACAGTGATAATGGTTATGATAACCATAATGATAATGACCGATGAATATTGGTGGCGATGCAATAATGATGGACATACTGATGGTGATGATATATGAAGACTTTCATCTCACTGAAGATAAATCAAAAGTGACCTCAAGAGTTCCCCAAAATCTCTCTCGGGGGGGATCTTCTGGCTTTCTGGTGCCAGGAATGCACTGCCTCTGAGGTAACTTGAATGAACCTTCCTCTCTCTGCTACCTCCACTGCTACTGATGATGCTGCTGGTGGTGGTGGTGGGTGTTGGTAATGCTGCTTTACTCTGCATCCCTGATATATCTTGCTGCTGCCCATACCTCTGCTGCAACAACAACATGTATTAAACCCCAAATTGAGACTGACAGTAAATGCTTCCATCCCATGCAAAGCTTATTCTGAACTTACATAAACATTGTAAATTTGTGTGTTGTGACAGCTTGGGGTGAGAATGGCAAAAAACATAGCTCTCGTAACTGTGGACAGTTGATAACACCCCGAGCTCAGTGTAGTACTGTATTACTTTTCTAATACAGTAGTGAATTGGGTACATCAGAAAGACGGCCGAAATGCTTACATAAACAAGTTTTAGTCTCGGCTGCAGAAGTGCTTGCATGTGAAAAGTTTTTAATCTGTACCTATATATAATATTTTAAAAACTGCATGATCTTAAAAGGCAATTTAATTCCTGTTTATTGCATGTAAATAAAAAGATTTATTATTTTATAGACTTCCTGTTTACAGGAGGGAAATGGAAGTGGCATTACCACTTGATAAAAATATAATTTTCCCCAGTTCAATGCTGATGTTTACTAATATTATAAGTGCTTGGCCTTTATTAATTATTAACCAAGTCTGACTAACAACTGTGGTGAAAGTAATGACTAATATGAATACTGTGTTACCTTTAGAACTTCAATTTTGTATTTAAAAATTTCTTATTGTAAATGTTTGATGCTCAGGCATGTACTGTGCCTTAAATTTATGTACAGTATGTATATTCAAGTTTGTATGACACTTTTTATTATTTAATTAAAACAAAATCCTTCTATCCACAATTTCAGAACTAAATAGCATGAGAAAACCCAGGTGTAGTAATGAGAATATCATGAGCAGGATGGGGATCGTGCCAACGTCCTCTGTCTCTTCATAAGTATGTCTTGACCCACGGACAATGACACGCTGAAGGTTGTACCTTTAACGTGTTATGATCCAGGGTTCATGTCTGGAGTTACCCAGGATACGGTTTCAATCCCCGTCCTGCTCCAATGATTTTTTCAAATACATCACATTACCAGTACAGTACAGTATTGTGATTTTTTCGTGTGTATGTGAGGTTTAATAATCCTTACATTAACCTTCTCCTTCATTTCAAATTTCACATGGTGTTTGAATGGCAGTGTTCAGCAATCACTTTTTCCTTTGAGGTTTCAAAGTTCATTTTCTTCATGCCTGACTTGGTGTGAAGTTCAAGTCTTGTCTGCCAAGTAATTATTTCACCTCCGTCTTGTAAGTCCATTAACATGCTAGCTCAAAGCTCCTTGTTACTACCTATAGCGCCATTTTGCCATCCATTTTCCTGATCTCCACAAGTGTCTCACTTTTGACAATAGTTTACTGGGGTAAAAATTGCCCATGATTAGGCATTTTCTGGTCACATCTGCAAACAACACACCCTCAATGATTCTTGGCTCCCTTCTAGTAATATCTTGCCATACCAGTATAGGATCACTCGGCATCTTGTCATACCAGTATAGCCACAATGCATCTTCTAACTTCATTATTGTTAAAATTGCAGGGTAAACTGTTTAAGTTTATTCCTGACAATTTAGTCTCTTAAATACGGTACATTTATACCTGAATTCTCCTCCTCTGCCATTTTATTTAGTTTTCTGGTTGTATTATGCTGATGAATTGTGTGAAGACTTTGCAGTTGAGTTTCTTCTTCTTTATCTCCAGCATTAGGTTGTAGAGGGTGTCAACCAAGTGGCATCGAAGGGTGGGAGGTGATGGGTAGGTCTTTACTATTTAATACAGTATATATACAATAGTAATTTTATTCATTATACATGTACAGTACATATAAAAATGTATTGCAGTGGTATATTTGTAGGTAAAGAGGTTGCATATTAAATAAAGCCTCTAATATGGAAAGCATATTAGGCAAGGTACAATGCATTGTGAAAGTACAGATTTTTATTAAATGGCAGTTTCTTGCAAGAGCACTAAGACGCACAGCATGGGTGGTGGGAGGGAGGAGTTGGTAGAAAATGCAACTGGAGGGGAGGAATAGAGGACTGAAAAGGGATGGTAAGTGGGCTTAGAGAGGTGGTTGAAAACAGTGAGAGTTTGGGACAGTAAGGGGATGAGGGAGCAGAAAACAGGTGAGGGAGAAGTGGTTAAGGGTATTAAGCGAGATGACCAGTGTGAAATAAATGCATCTTCCATAAGGAAAGGAAGGCGGCAGTTTTGTCGGGTACAATGATAATAGGTTGAACGAGCAGCTGTTAAGCTCACCGAAGCAGATGACCATTTGGAAGAGGATGAATTTTTCCTGGCAAGTTGACAAGTGTGAGAGAAGAGGTGTGTAAAGGAGATCTCCTTGGGTAAGGATCCTATTAGGCAGGTTTTCCTCTGTAATCCCCTCAGGGTGCATTGAGAAAGTGGTGTGTGAGGGAGGGTGGTAGAGTGGAGGATGCTGCTGTTGCACAATGAGGAAGGCTGCAGTAACTGGCAAGGAAGAGCTTGGGTGGAGCAAAGGTGTATGGGAGGGTTTGAAGAAGTTTGTATTTCTGGCACTTAGGTATCCGATACAAAATTTTGACTTTGCTTTCTCAAATTATAATGGGGCGATGATTTTTTTATTATTATTATTAAACTGCATTTGATGACCCTTCAATGTTATGGAGCTGGCCTTGGCCACTATCTTCTTCCCTGTCTCTTCACACTCAACTTTCTCACTAACAGCAAGTTTATCTTTCTTAATATCTCTCTAGCAAAATTACTAGTCACTGACATTCTTTTCCTTTGATGCCGTCTAATTTTATCATTTTTTTTAATTATTATTATTACCATTAATGTTAGTGTGTTAAGAGCTACTACAAATTCTACTACAGTATTACAGTATTTGTGTTAATAATTCCACAATTACTTTCATAAAACATCTAGCTCTGACGTGATTTTTTTTCCCAGTTCAAGTGTGTGAAATACGCCCCCGGGAGCCGAGTGTGTGAGAACGCTGGATCGTCAGCCATCACCCATTCCCCACTCATCTCCCTGGTGACCTTGCTTCTCTCCTTATGGTGCATTCTTGTCTAGGACCTCCTGCAGCTTGCTCACCATCCCTGCCTAAGACCTTTTGCAAGACCGACGCCAACCTTACCTTTGTCCTACTGCAGGACCGACACCATCCTTGCCTAGGACCTCCTGCAAGACCGACACCATCCTTGCCTAGGACCTCCTGCAAGACCGACACCATCCTTGCTTGGGACCTCCTGCAAGACCGACACCATCCTTGCCTAGGACCTCCTGCAAGACCGACACCATCCTTGCTTGGGACCTCCTGCAAGACCAACACCATCCTTGCTTGGGACCTCCTGCAAGACCGACACCATCCTTGCTTGGGACCTCCTGCAAGACCGACACCATCCTTGATACCTACACACTGAGAAGGAAACTTTACACTGATAATATACAAAGAAAAGATAGGAGTAATGGAGCGAGATATTGTGAGTATATATATATATATATATATATAGAGCCAAGATAGAAAAAGGTAAAGCAGATCTAAAAATTTAGGAAGAATTATGTTAGATTGAGGAAAGATTTTAGCTGCTATAGCAAAGTGGGAAATGGCTGAAGAACCAGTTTACACAAATAAAAGAAATGACAGATGTTAAGGAAATAAAGTAACTCTAGCAGTGCAAAATATACTTTCAACTGAATAAGTTACTTTAGTTTCACAAAGTGGTTCAAAAGTAAGGTTCAACAAGTCTTAAATCCAAATAGATGAAAAAAGAATGGAGGCACAATACATAGACTGTAATGTAAGAACTGTGTAATGTAAGAACTGTCAGAACATTCACCAGTGTTTACTAGTACACACCCACTAGTGACATGTAAAATAATATTAACCACTTGTAAAACATCATTCACATTCTGGGTTATGCAAATTTTTGTCATTTTGCATAATTCATAATAAGGTAATCAAAATTATTTAAATTTCTCCAGAAGAGGTACAATTTAAATCTGGATCCTGTTCCCTGCATTGCGTCCCCAAGACCATGTATATAACATTAAATTTCATTATTCAGAATTAAATAAACATTCAATTTGTTTTTTGTGTTGACCAGAGAATAAAGTGTTGGCCAGAGAGCAACACCATATGTGTATATGTATGTGTGTGAACACATGGTGTGTGCACGTAGGCCTTGGTTGTGTTTACCTGCCTGTGTGCAAGTGTGAATGTTTGACTATTAAAAGCCAAACCTTAGCTATTAACAAAGATAACACCAATAGCAATCTTGTTCTCTACAACAGCTTTCACTCTTCTCCAGATACAAGCTATTATTTTGTCAAAATTTATTTAAATACATCCAATTTGTTATTAAATTGATCTCTGAATTGTATGATGCATCAAATATATTATTATTGTGAATGAGTTGGATAAATATCTAGCAAGTATGTGACAGTAGCAATATTGCTTCAGAATTACCCCTGCCATCCATGCTTGGATGCCTTCAGTACTGTAACAAACTCATGCCCTTAACTCAAAGTTTGCTTAGTTTTTTAAATTAAAACCAGTTTATTTAAATTAAATTTTAAATTAAAACTATTTGAGTCTAGCAGAGTTCCATGCTACTGTTGTACATATCTCATATTTGGTGCTTTTACCACATCCTGGTTCCATTTCATTCCTAAGTTCTGTAGTTGCATTCCACGTCTTTGGTTCTAGGTTTCATGGTTGTGTCTGCCCTATAGTTCTCTGGCTCATGGTTATAATCCATATGGTTTTGTATCTCATGCTTGTAAACCTCATAGCTCAAACATTGCTCGACTAAGCACAGTGTATCCACCATATATTACTTCAAGAGGCTTTCATACATTTCCACATCTTTGACCATAAAATGTATTAAGCATCAGGTTGCGTCTTGCTCAAGTACTCCACCTACATGATTGTGTTACTACCTAATGTCAAATGGCAGAAGTAAAATACACAGATTTAAACTTTTCGTAAAATGTACATACTATATGAATCCAATGTACATATACACAACTGACAAGCCAGTTGTATATATACCATTTTGAAAATCAATGTATAAATACAAGAACAACTATGAAATGAGGTCCAAACCACACATCAGAAAATTAAAAAGAAAAAACTGACATTTTGGTCCATCCTGGAACATTATCATAACTTCACAATGGTGTTGTGAAGCCGGTCGGCCGAGCGGACAGCACACTAGACTTGTGATCCTGTGGTCCTGGGTTCGATCCCAGGCGCCGGCGAGAAACAATGGGCAGAGTTTCTTTCACCCTATGCCCCTGTTACCTAGCAGTAAAATAGGTACCTGGGTGTTAGTCAGCTGTCACGGGCTGCTTCCTGGGGGTGGAGGCCTGGTCGAGGACCAGGCCACAGGGACACTAAAAAGCCCCGAAATCATCTCAAGATGGTTTCGGTCCACAATGGACCGAAACATCACTATTTCTTTATTTTCTGATGTGTGGTTTGGACATTATCTTCAGCCATGTTATTGTAACTCATCTGCTACTATGAAATATGTGTGCAGATATAATTTTAAACCTTTTAATAATCATGCAACATAAAATGTTGTATAATGATATAGAACTTCTAAACCATTGTGTGGATATATGCCTCCAGTTCAGTACAGTATATAGGTATATAACCTTTAAAACTGACAAATGTATAGATGATAGTTGAACATTATAAATTTATATAATTAGTAAGTATTGTATAAGCTAAGCAAAACTATATAACTTTGTTGACTACAGTATATTTGCTAACTTGTTAAGCTTAGCAAGGATGACAGTTTATATATATGCCTAATGATGCAACATCTCTTAATCTCTTGTTACCCTTCTCACACAACAAAAAATGTTGATTTAATATGCTAATCCTAATTGGTTTTATGAATAACATTTTATGATTTTTGTTTTGGGAGCAGTAGGTCACTTTCCTTAAGGTTTTGTTACAGGTTGTTGAACTTCTCACATCCTCTACATTTACCTGTTGTCACTTGTGATGGTTTTCTTTAGACCATTAAGAGGGTCTTCCCAATTTTGTCGGAAACACAAAATTGGTATTTGTGTGAATGGTGCCTATGCTGTGTGGATGGTGCCAATATTGTGTACTGGCACTTGTATTGCATAAATGGTAGCTCTGCTGTATAGGAAATGCCACCATTTTCTAATGGTTGTGATGCTGTGTACTGGAACCTTCATTATGTAGATGGTGCCCTTATTTTGCAATGGTACCTTCATTATGTCCGTGATACTCTCCGTGTGTAGCAGTTGCCTCCTGTTATATGGTACCTCTGTTGTATGGACGATGCCCTGCACTGTGTACTAGTACCTCTGTTGTGTGCCTGTTGCCTCTGTTGCCTGTTGCTGTGACTATTTACAGCAAATCCTGTTTTGCTCAGCTTAGACCAGTTTCAGAATGTGGGATCTCACCACAAGTTGTGTAGGAATCCAATAGACTGTACATTTTAGGGTAAATATGGTAATGTAAACAAAAAAAATTAAAAAAGTGTGAAAGCAGTCACTAAGGTGCTCTAGTGTGATTATCGGGAGTTCTTTAGAATGAACTTTAACATTACAGTTTGCAACCCTATGATTATGTTATTACACCTAATACTATATTTAATGTTGAACCACAGAAATCTTCAGTTTTAATGCATTTTATTTTTAACTATATAGTAAATATATTACAATATTTTTTTACAATATTTTAGGGTTTCTGTCATCACTTCGTTGTATACCGTGGAAGCTGTAGATAAAACCTACACATGTTTAATACGCTTCATAGCTAATATTACATTTTCCTTTAATATTTATGCTGTAAATATGTACAGATAACTCATTTTATCTAGAATGTTAAAAATACTTTTATGTGAAAAAGAATAAATTGTGTTTAATAAGGCTGTCTTTCTATTGTCTGCAGTTATCAAAGTTTGATTTTCACATTAAGTAAAACAAAGGATATAATTGACTGGCATTACACCAGAAGTAAATGAATGAGTCACCACAATACAAATTTGAAACAAAAATCTTACCTAATAAAATTGTTTACTTCTCTGGAAACAATAGCCACCAGTACACAGACCCAAAGATTCACAACTGAAGTGAAGTACGTGAACGTCTTCTGGTAAAGTACCACACATGAAACACTCGTCTGAAAACAAGCAGGACATTTTTTTTGTTTTTGGCAAAATTTTGCATTGAAATAACACAATGGCCACAACATACAGCAAAGAGCTGTCCTAACTGGAAAAAAGTATGACAAAGAACATGACCACAGTCCACAAATAACCATTTTGGAGGTAATGCTATATGTAATGAACATCACTGATACCAAGGAAAACATCTCAAACCATTATTGTCAAAATTATCCCCGCTCCAAATCACCAAATTTGTGGATGATGCAAACGGCTATAAAAAGGTGAAAGTGAAGTTGACGCTGTGTGGTACAACCTCCAATATATGTTAAATTTATCAGAGAACAGGCGAGTGCTATTGTCTAAAAATGAAAAATCTTACTTGCTGGGACATAGTACATACATGCAACTTACCTACATTTTGGCATTTGTAGAGTAGTGGTCAATGCAGTCAGATCACAGCCATAATGTACTTTAGTTCAGTTCCTGAGGTGGGACAAAAGTGTTTTGGTAACATTTCATTTCACTTGATGCCTCTCTCTGCCTAGCAGTAAACAGGTACAGTACCTGGAAATTTTACAACTATTTTGAGTTGCATCCTGGGTAAGGTTACATAATGTATTCTATCGTGCACACTACTCTAGCCATCAAAAATACTGTACAGTATATTCATTTTTACACTTTTTCAGTGCCATCTATAAACATAATACACTTTAACTTAATTTCTTCACCAGTTATTTACCCGAGGATCACCATCTCTAGTGACCTCGATGGGGACAGAAGCCGGTGGGTTGTCAAAGGTCCCCTAATTATGCGTAGGGATTTTTTCTGGCTCTATTTTAAACTTGGTAATGTCTTGGCATTTATGGTTTCAGCAGGTAGGTGGTTCCAGAAGTGAAGAAGCATCTCCTGTTTTGTCCTATATTGTGGCTTGTTGAGCTTGAAACCGTTGACCCTTGTATGCATTACATGTGCCCTTTGAAAAGAAGTGAAACTGGTTTCATATGCATTAATGATGTAGTATATTGAATTATTAATGTTTACAGCTTGTCCATAATCAGCATATAAAAAAGAACATTTGTAAATTTGTAAAGAAACTGATAGTTTTGTGATTTTTAGCAAAAGAACAAATAATTTTCTCTATTATTTCAAACAAAATTTTGCCAGATGTACTAGTCTATATTCTGATTAGGGATAATTGATCAGAAAATACAACATTAATAATTCTAGATATAACCTCGTTACTGTAATAGGCATCATGATTTCCTAATGTTTGGAACAGAAGCCAGTTGGGCTTATTGACGTCCCACCAGGCCAACACAATTCACAACAGTTACTTAACTCCAGGGTTCTTATTTCCTGCTGGGTGAACAGAAGCATCAGGAGCAAGGAGACTTCTTGTCCTCCATGGAAATTGAACCAGTGGCCTGGTTGTGAGCTGGAATTATTATTAGCTCTAACCACAGTTTATGTACTGTATTTAAAATGCATTGTAATGAAATATGTAATCCAATTCTAATAATAACGATAAGAAATATAAAAAATGTTGGTTAGGAAATTAAAGTGGTACTGTACCTCCACTTACGAATTTAATCCGTTCCCAGAGATGGGTCGTAACTCTAAACTAATTTTCCCATAAGAAATAATGTAAATTGAATTGATCTGTTCCACACCCCCAAAAAATATTAACTTAAAAATACATTTAATACTGAGTACCACTTTTTGTGCTAGCTACAATACAGCATGTATATCTTACCTTTATTGAGGACTCTTGTTGGCTTATGGAAGACGATGAGGAGGAGGAGGAGGAGGAAAGGTGTTACTGTTTGGAAGGGGAGTTCCCATCCATTATAACAACAGGCAGTGATGACTTCTCTGGGGTACTCACTCTCCTATGTTTTGCCTGCATTCCACTAGGACCTGATTGTGGCTCACTGCTTGCCTGTCTTACTAAGAATCTGCCTAAAGGCACTTGTTTTCCCTACGTTTTAACACATGTCTGTAGTAAGACATCACATTCATTCACTATGATCTCTTGTTTTTCTTCTATGATCATCCTCACATGTGTTTTCTTAGGTTGAACCTAACTACCGACTTTCTTAGGACCCATGGCATGATATATAATTACTTTTATGTTCAAAAAACAAAAAAGCACAAAATCAACAAAATTCTTTACAAGCGTGATTGTCACTAAGTGGGTGGCTCTGGTAAACTGAGGCGGGGGTTGCCCATGCCACTAGAAACCACGAGCTCAGTCGACCCATATGTGTATCAACAAAGTCGCTAGCTGAGGCAACGGTCTTAAGTAGAGTTGCATTTTTCAATGAAACTGGGCTCATAACTCGAGAAAAGTTGAGAGTAGGAGCAGTCGTAAGTCAAGGTGCCACTGTATTATAACGAATTCGGTCACACACACATGCTCACAACCTTCACATTACAGAACTGTATGTGAAAAGTCATTAAAGATGAAATTACAAGAAATGGAAAGCCGACAAATAAAATTCAGATTCACTTGAATCAATGTTTATTTACAAATAATGCACAAATGATTATTCTGGCATTTAAAGACAAAATAAGGATATTAGCACGTGGAGTGCTGAATTTTTGTTTTCATAGTTGGTCATAAGTTATATTATCTTGCTGCTGTTAGTATTATGTGAACATATGGGATTATATTGTAGGAGTCCAACAGAAGGCACTTCTACAATACATGGGACAACTAGTGTATAATTTACTACTGTAGAATACATGCTAAATCAAAACATAACCAAATGGGATATCTATGATAATCACTCATAAAATAAATGATTCTTTTGTGAAATGCTAAAGGCTGTCTTATAAATACAAACATGCTAAACTCTATAGTAATATACTGTACATAGTTTTATTTAATTATAACCATTAAATCAACTTATTGGTAGAACAGTAATTTTTACTAGACATTCAACAAATGCTTTTCAAGTTAAAAATTATATTTACACAAATTACAAATAATTAAATATCACTCACTTAACAATACAAAACAAAAAAGATTTCATCAGTTCTCAATTATATAACTACATTAGAAAAGACAAAAATAACTGAACATTATAAACATCAAACTATAAACTATACAATGTATTCATTACTGTTTAATTTTGTCTTTTACAATACCATTACTTGCAATAATTACAGTGAAATAAATATAATGGTTTGGTAATTTCTAAATGGGCATTGCAGTACAGTACAGTACTCTGTTTTATCTCCCCAAATCGAAGAGTCGCTTTAATATAGGACGATTAAGCAGCACCTTTATGACTGCTAACAGTAGTCAACAAAACAATTTATAACTTATGATAAATAAAAATACTACAGTGTGTTCAAAAAAGAAACAAACCATGGACTGTTCAAATTCATTCATTGTGCTTTTATAACTTTGATCACTAATGTAGCTTTCAACAAGGAAGATTTTTTCTTGAAGTGTTAACCTCATTTTTTAACACAAGGGTTTCTGAAAAAATCATACAAGCTACAATAGTACTGTACAGTATATATCTTACTGTGTATTAATTTTCTTTTTTAAACCCTGTAGTATACATAATACAGAAAAACACAGTTGTAGAAGGTCACAGAATGACTTGAGAATGTTAGAAAATCACACACATACAGCTAAATCATTTGACTAAATCCTTGATTACCATTCTTTATACAAAGAAAAGGAACAGTCACATGCCAAACAATCCAAGATGTGAGACAGTTCATAACTGTAAAATGGCAGCATAGAAATTTTGTGTAAATAAACTTGACACAGCAAGATTGTGCTTTATATCACAGTATTGATACACCATACAACCTTGATATACCACACCACAGCCTTGGCATATTCCAGAGATTTTATACACCGTACAACACCACAACCTTGATATACCAGACTGCATCCTCGATACATTAAACCACATCCTTTATTTACTACACCAGTTTTGATATACAATGCCATAGCCTCGAGATACCTCACCACAGTCTAGATCAATCACACCTCGGTAGGTACTGACGGCACACCCTAGTCGATCTCTGAACATCATACAACACTCGAGTGCAATTGTCCACTAAATTATAAACTAGAAGAAAAGTATAGACCAAAGATATCTTTCTGGTTTAAATTTAAATATGTTTTATCACTTTATTTTGTTATAAATAATTATCTAGTCTGAGCACTTTAATAATGGCTGCACTGTTGGAATTTAATCATTTTCTTGTCATTCTGTCCTTCCCCTTTCCCCCTTAAAAAAAAATGAGCATGACATTTGAGTTATCAGATTTATTCCCAGCAGAGTGATAGCACCGAATTCACTCATCCGATACTCTGATCATCTTTAGTCAGTCAAGTAACACTGACAGTATAAGAAAAGTGGCACTAGACATTAATCGCTATTATTCGTTGTCGATATGAAATATGAATGAACTATGGTGGATATTGAATATTATATACAAAACAATACTTTTAACGATATGTGTGATAAGCAAAACATTCCGAACAATAAATATGTTAGCTTCGCACCCAACATGAAACTTGATACTGTATAAAAGAGCCGAGTTTATCAGTACCACAGGAACATATCCAATCAATTCCTGGTTAAATGTGAGGGGGACTATTAGTTGGTTTTATGCACTCAACAATCAGTTTAACACGAGTTTGTAAGATAAGGTAAAAATCACTTTTAGATACACTGTACAGTAGCTTTAATCTGGCTATAAAATGATTAAGCCAAGGTCCCACAAGTCTTGTCATAAGAATGGATATCAAATTATATTACATTAAATACTATCCAGTCTCAATAAAACTTCTCATTTTACTATGTACAGTATATTTATATTGAGGAATCATTCCCAAGATACTGAACTTCTATCCCTGCTCTGACCACTGAAGACTGGCCATCAGATAAGGCAAATAAAATTTTGTACAAAATTTTTGGTCCGGCACTACATTCCCACATAAAACCAGATGTGCACTCTACCATTTGGGGGAAAAAAAAACAAAACAAATTTAACATGAATTTCACGAGAGGTACTTCATAACTAAAAGATAATTACACATCTATTATAATTCAATACTGAAATGCAAAATAAGCACACATGCATATTATCATACTTATGTACAGTAACTGTTTTACTGTTTATAAATATCAACTACCCGCTACTAGCAACTATCTAAAAACTTTTATCTACAACATCATTCGTCCATTTAACAAAAACAATCTACTGTACCTACATTTTTTCCTGAAGCACGAAGGTGTTAAAGCTGCCTTTCGACTGCTGAGTATTGGACAATATCTCCTTTCTTTAGTACCTGAGGACAACACTGGCACCGCACACACGTTGATAACATTTAAACCACTGAAATTTAAAACAACTTCTTGCCTTTCATGTTTTGCTTTAGAATATGAAGTACCTGTGATATAAGTATAAGTTTGTCAGTCCATACTATGGTCAACAGTCTTGAGAATTTATTGTACTAACACCTGTCACCATTAAAACCAAATGCTAGATAATGTTGACACACTCAAGTGTACTGTGGCTCATTAACTGCATTAAAATACACTATACAAAAAATTAAAATACAGCCTGCTACCTGCAAGATCAAGCTATGGGAAGTTACACATGACCATTATGCAAATAAATCCACTTTAAAGCATTCCAATATAAGCAGTGTCTATTGAAATTTATTCAAAACATGCATACCTTAATGTATAGAAATCAAAACAACACTGTTAATGGGCATATGATATTCACAAAGTCCACCTGAACACCATGTATGAATTCCTTGCTGGCACGCACGCGCGCACACACCCACACACCTCTCACTCATCCCAACATAAAACAGAAAATGTTGCCCTATTACCCTAGAAGGAATGAATGAGTATATAGGGGAACTGAGCAAACTAGAAATTGTCATTCGGGGTCTATCTGTCATGTTATCCCCTCCTTAATCGATCATGAGCTTCTCATAAAAGGAGTTCAGTCATACCCCCATAACAGAAGCAATCACCCCCCCCCCCCCCATCAGGAGGAGGAGTTCATGACCACCCTTTAACCCCTTAACACTTGTATAGTCTTCTCCATGGCCACACATCAGTACAGAACCATCCCATATACAATGTGCACGATTTAAGGGTTAAACATTCTGTTCAATAAGTGGTATCTGCCAATACGTAAACATTTTACGTTTATTTCTAGGTTGACAATTCAAAATGTGTAAAAATATTCTGAAATTAATGATCTAGAGAATAGATGCCAAAAATTTGGCAAGCGCATTATTTTTGTTTATGCATGGCATAGACTATAAACACATTTATAAACATTCAAATGTTCCTTACATATAAGTATAAATAAATTTTTTAAAAGTAATTGTGCACACAGATTTGCTTTATATCACTGAAGAAAAAAACAAATGGTGGAATATTTTCTCGAGTCATTTGCAAAGAGAATGGAAATTTATAGGATAACGATAGGGGAGGGGGGGCCATGGCATACAGTATACTTACTGTACTGTACTGACAAAGTTCAGTCATTTTGCCGTAGTAAATCCACGAAGTCATACATAAGTATTTTCTTTCTGCACATAAATGGAATGATTCCTCATTCATAATATTAAAAAATCAAGGCTGACCACTGAAATGGATTTTGGAAGTGCTCAGTGATGGACTGAGCACTTCCATTGATGACAAAATTATTTTTATCTCAATGAGCTCAATTTGATGTGGTTATGGCCCGCCGCCGCTTCCTGCTCTCATTGCATCATTCCTGCTTTCTCGAGTTCCATGATCAAGGTACTCAGGATCTGAATCTTCAAGCAAAGCACTAATCTTAGGTGGATTCAAACCTTCTTGAAAAATTGATTGCCCTCGTTAACTATGGCATTTTCTCAAACTCGTACCCTTGATTCTCTTGCGTGTTTTAACTAATTTTCGACTTTCCTGATCCATTAGGATTTATTTACAATCGCAAATAATTCCAGGACAAAATATTATGCAAGAGATGGGAAAAAATCACTTGACAACACGGGACTGAACATAAAAAACCATAGGCCTTGGGTGGGTAGCTTGTTGTGAAATGTGGTTAACCAAGGTGAGCTCAGATACCTGATATAGTAACATTGCTCTGCTTACCCTGTGGCCCTGTATTTTAAACAAATTTGCATTGTACTGGCACAAAAACAGCAACTAAGAAAGCAAAGTTAGCAAAATTTTAGATCAGGCGACACTAAAACGCGTCATCAGACTAATTACCGTTCAGTGGCAATAAACTGTGTCCTTGGACAGCTATAATAGTACGGGTACCTAAACAGTAAATTTTTAAATACTGTACAATATACTAAAATATATATATATATATATTTTTGCTAATCAGCAAAATAGCACTATTGTGTTGTGATGAGAGTGGCGGTGTTTGCTAAATATAACAAACATAAGCAAAGAATTGGCCCGAGAAGATACACACATCTTGGATATTAGACGACATCAGCAACCAACTCGTCAAAGACATGTAAAACACTATGGACAACCTTTAATGAACTAGATGTTGAATTATGCAGGCTCAATATATATACATTTTAATGAATATGATGCTTGAGTGCTATTAAGTTAACAGGCATTTTATCAACACATCTGAAATTAACACTCAAACATATTACCTTGCATTCATTTTTTTAACACTAGAACAAGTTAAAACTACAGTATTTAGTTTTTGTTCATTATTATGTAAAAACTTTTATACAATACAATATTATGCTAATGTATAACCCTAAAAAAAAAAAATGATTATTCAATTCTATACTTCTTGGTGCGATTAGGCTTTTTGCTGGCTGTGAAAGCGATGATGGTAATGATCTGACCACACAGGTAGGCTACCAGGATGAAGATAGCAGGGTAGAAGGCATCTGGGAGACCTGCTTCTGGTAGACCCATGTAGCGAAGAGCCTGAGTCCCTGTCACAACCCCACACGGTGCCTAGGAAAAATATACACCCATAACTTAATTCATTTACTGTACTGTTTACATCCTTCTACAACTATCCAAACTAGGGACAAAAGGTCAACCTATTTCCAATGTACATTATATACACTATTGTATTCATATTGCCATCTTCCTCCATCTTTGAGGTCAAATGTTTTATGTCAAGAGTGGGACCATTTTCATACATAAATATTTGCTATTCTGATAATGGATTCACTATTGATAATTTTCCCAGCTTGGTGCCTGCTTTTGATAGTTACTTGCCACTGACAACAAAATATAAATTTCCATATTCAAAAATAAAAAATGCTTCAAAATCTGTAGGCATACTCTCTCAAACTCAATAATTTAACTTTGGTCTCCTTGATTACATTATTATTCACTCTTCTATCCATCTCACAGTATTTGCACCCGAGATTCCAACTCAAAATTATGTCAAGAACATATTACTGTACTCAAAATACATCACCCAGTTAGAAGAAACTCCAATCTTAGATAACATTTAGCATGCCTATTTAAATTCTTGAACTTGCTAAATATAAAACAGTACACTCAAGTGTACTCTATATCCATAAAACTCTCAAGTGCAATTCTAATCCTGACCTCAAATGCTTCTCAGAGGGCTGCAACACAACCCATCGACATCACACTAAAAACACGTATCCATTCGATATTTTAAGATTAGATTAGATTTAGATTTTGTATTCAGGTAAAGGTACATACTGTACATTGAGTTACATACATAATGTTGGATTTAAAGATAGAGAGAGTACATTCAATACCTAAAGCCACTAGTATGCATAGTTTTTCGGGCAAAGTTAAGGGCTTAATTAAGATAACTACAGTACGCAAAGAGAATGCCTTCAGATAGGCAGTATTAAGAGATTAAAACACTGACTTGATCATTCTGTAATAAATACCAAATATCATCCAAAAGCCTCCAAGTTTATAGATGCTAATAATACATCCTTTATTTAATCTATAAATCCAACGCATAAGACATCTCCATCAAATATTTCCGTCAAGAAACCCTGACAAAGACCTTACCTTTCTCTGGATGGCTGAAAGGGTGTCTTGCAGGACAGGGTTACGGTCGCACAGAAACTCATTGGTGTTGTCAAACTCATAACGGTTGACTTCATGTAGGACCCAGCGAGCAGGTGACCACCACAGTGTTGGCCATGTCCACGCTGACAAGTCCTGCATCCACATAACACTTAGTTCAATGCATTAACATTTGATATTATGCAGCCTAAATTATTCTTTTATCCAATGAATATCCTCCAAGGGTAAAAAATGTACAATATTCATCTTAAGAAACTGTGTACAAGTTGATGCTCTCATCTTTAAAATGCTGGGATCAATAAGGCATATGTGAAATTAGATAATCTGGTAAGAGTAAATGGAACTCCTGTGAGAAGGAAAGGGGATTTCTTTAAGAGGGGAAGATGGATTTAAGATGAGGGATTTCTGTGATAAAGAAAGACCAATTCCTGTAACAAACAAAGGATTTTTTTGGAAAGCTTAAATGTATTCATTCCTATGAACCAGTGGATGAGAACTCACCAGAGGGTGAATGGTGAAGCCAGCACCCACAACAGCCAGCGTCAAGACGAAGCCTGTGGCCATAGCGGCCGTGTGGCGGGAATCGAATACACAAATGGCAGCAATGGCGATGGCACGGATGGCAAACAAGTAGAGAAGCATGTAGCCCAGGTAGTAGTAGAACTGGTCGGCAGTGGGAAAGCCAGCCATTGTGTAGGCAGGTAGAGTGTAGGCCAAGAAAGTACCACCGGCAGCCAGGAAGCTGTAGCAGATCTGTCATGAGATGTAGAGGTGTTAACTATGAGGTGTGACATATAGAGTGCTGAAGTGCAAAGTATAACAGGTGTATGGTGGAATTATGATGCAGGTGGGTTGACTAAATTATCATCCTGGATTCGATTCCAGGGCAAAATACGATGTTTGGGAATGTTTCCTTACACCCGATGCCTTTGTTCATCTAAAAGTAAAAAAGTACCTGGAAAATTTACCAGAGGGCCTTTAATACTCTAGTGGCCTTAACAAAGACTGGAATCCACGGGGATGGGGATGGGAGTGAGGGTGGGTTTGCAGTGGGGGTGTAGGTTTGTGTGGGTGGCTGGATGTGTGAGAGATACCTAGTGGCCTCAAGTGTGACCCAGCGTGGACACCCACCCTTACATGATTTGATCATGTTTACGGTGTTAGTGGGGGGTGGGGTCCTGAGCTGGAGATAGGAGGAGGGTGGGGAAGCATTTACATCCAAGGCCAATTACAACATGGTGGACCACCAATACAGTGCACATGTATTTTTATCTATACTGTATTTATTCATGCAATTATACCACTTCACTTTTCAAAAACCAGTTAGCTTTGACAAGCAGAATTACTCCATCATTCAAGGTAAATAATGTTTTTTTTTATATACTATTTGCCCCCAAAATACTGGTTTTGTGATAATTTTTGGTGGCCTGGGAATGCATCTCCCACTTGTAGCATTGCACCAATGGAAAATCTTGAGCCGCGTTCTGAACAATTGCTTTACAGTCTCAGAACATAACTCATTCATAATTGGGGAACTGCCTGTATCCCAGAACCATGGTGTCTGTCATGAGGCAAGAAAGGGTGTGGATGACAAGAATTGACAATTCTGCAAACAAAACATGACTGACAATTTCATCGAGACATTTAATACACATTGTTATAGATTCCTTGTTTCAGTTGCAGATGCCAGAATAGCATCTTAGGCTGTCATTTGATTCTTCCAGGCCATATTCAGCTGATATTTTTGCTTTATTTTACATTTTTTTATTCTGCTTCAGAATTATAATGCTAGCAATTCTGCCTCTGCTGTTGCCTATTCTTACAAAACATGTACCTAATCTACATTATACAAGTAGATTTGAAATTTATGCTAATATCCACATATACATGCCATGGGGGGAAAAAAAACACCCTTGGAGAGCATAAATCAGTGATAACATATCCTCAAAGTATATACTAGCCATACTCTGCATGTTCATAGCAATACCCCTAAAGTGAATGTCGTAGTCACACTCATGTGACCCTTATTACCACATACACCCACAAAGTTCACCAGTGTTGTGTGCCCACGATTCTCAAGGGCACTTGTTCACTTGTACCCCAATACGGCCACTGAACATAGTTCTATACACACCTATGGTTAACATCCTACCTTAGTAATAATGTATATGGCTCTGGAGTAAAGACCATCATCCACATCTCTGGCCACAGCTGGCTTATCCCGCCATATCTCAGAGATGGCCATAAGGAGGACAGGCCAGAGGGCCAATCCAGCCATAACATAATGGAAGGCTGCACGGTTGTTGACGTTATCCTGGTGTTGCGCTGAACCACTGCGCACGTCCCAGTACACTGCACCCACAACCACCGACATCGTTCCTGCCACCACTGTCATTGCCAACCAGTGCACCATGTTATATGGAAATTGGTAGATCATTGCACGTCTGAAAAAGAATTTGAATACATGTCTTCAAAATATATTAAGTGTATCCACTTTCATCTCATTCACTAGTAACAATGTTAATTATAGATTCAACGAATCAGTCTTGTTAAAAATATGCACAAGTGTAAACACTATAATTTACAGGAATTTTCAAAATGTGTAAAGAACAGTTAGGAATCTTCGAATTTGGTAAGCACCCATCTTAGGATCATGATAAATAGTATCAAATGTGCATGTGTGTGTGTGTGTGTGTGTGTGCAAATTACCTAAGAGTAGTTACAAGATGAAAGCTATGCTCCTAGGGTCCCATCTTCTCTATAATCTTTGTCATATGATGCTCTGAAACTACTGATCACTTTGGCATCCACCCCTTCTCACTTATATGGTTCTGTCTAACTTTATTTGCAAAAAAAGATAACTTTTGTACTGTATATTTTTCCAGCACCTTCATTTCCTTAGCTTGAATCTATATTCTCTTTTTCTTAAGTTGCAAATTTGAAAAATTCCATGCATGTGCACTTGGTGTAACGCCATATAGATGGCTTATAAATTATGTTCAAAGCTCTAGTCTGTGGGAGACAGAGGGAGTTTTGGGTGACTGAGTCGGATGTAAAAATCACACCTTGCAGGGTGCCATGTTTTGAGGTCAACATTTAATGATTACGCTAGATACTTCACCTACTAATTACATAAAATGTGTCAGGAATGCAAGAAATGGGTGCCTGCTTTGAAGAGACCAACTTTGAAGAGACTTTGAAGAGACTGCAGTGACCTATGGAGCAATCACATGTTATGAATTGTTCGGTGAGCTCCAGCAGCCACCTAGGGCAGTGTCACACTTAGGGGTGAGGGGTTTAAAATGAGAGGAACCCAGCCCTTTGATTTCATATAAATATTGCAGCATTTGAGAAAAAGATGACATTCAATTCAGATTCGAATCCAATTTCAGACTGGAGAGAGGGCTTCAGTTCATACTGGTTGGTGTCAATCCCAGGGTTCTTGACTGTGTGGAGAGATTATTCAGACAATATTTTTGTCTGACACTGGGTGAATGTGAGTTCAGCATTACACTATCCAGGTAATTGTCATAGATAGGCCATGGATACATAGAAAATCTGAATAGAAAAACAACTTCTATCAGTGACTCAAGCTCATGTTGGCATCTTTGGAAAGTCAAATGGTGACTGGAGTAAAGTTCTACATTCTAGAAAGTAGTCGTGAGGACTAAGCCAGTAATGGACCAAACTATTGGAGATAAATATGTCAAATGTACATGTTATTCATCTTGTCCTTTATTATTAAGTCTCCTGATGTGTGAAGAGCCAAATACACTTACCGAGTAATGAGTAAATGTTAAAAGTGGAGATAACAAGCAAGATCACCGACATGTTCTTAGTCTACAAAAGGGGGGTGGTGGCAGCAAAATTCTCAGTTGATCCCACATAATCTTCCCTTCCCCCCCCCCCCTTTGGATGGGTAGAATCATTTCTTCCCTCTCCTCCCACTTTGAATGGGTAAAGCATCACCCTTTTATCCTCCTCCCCTTAAGAATAAGTATAGTCCCTCTTCCTCCCCTTTCTTTCCCATAGTTATCAATAATCTACCACTTCCATTCTGGAGTAACTAAACTTGGGAAATAGTTGCCAGAGTAAACTTGTAATCAAGATTCGACCTTTATCACTTCCCCTGTAGTAATGAGATAAGATAGCATTCACACCCACTCTTGTTGAAAAAAGTTTGGTCATTATATAGCAATGTCCTTATTTTATCATCAAGTTGATACCCTAAGGCTTACATCCAGAGGCCAAGGAGCTGAAGACAGATGTTCTCCTTGCGGACCTTCGGGGGTAGGGGTCCAGGAGGCCCCGGGTCACTCAGGGGCTCTTGACGGCGTCTAAATGTCTCCGCCAGCATCTCCACTCTCTGTGACGACTCCAGCATAGCCTCTGCACTCAGGTCATCCAACGTTACCAAATCAACTGCAGAGAATAATTGCAAATTAATTCAAACATGCTCTACGTTTGCAATGATTCTAATACACCCTGAATCGATTCAATACAATCTTTCAAATGTAGATTTTATAAATAATGTTGGCCTTGTCCAACATGGACTCCAGAATTAGTACACCAGTTGATTGACAGTTGAAAAATGGGATCAAAAAGTCAAAGTTCAACCCCCCCCCCCCCAGAAGCACATCTAGGTGAGTACCCATAGGGTTATAAACCCATGGAATCTTCTACCTTCTGAAGCCATAAATGCCAAGACATTAGTTCACTTCAAAATCCGTATGGAAAAAAATCCATAGGAACAGTGGAGATACCTATGACAGGTGCCTGGCTTTCAGTCCCTCGTCAAGAACACTAGACAGGTGGTGGCCTTCAGGTAAATTCATGTAAATAACTTATACTTGTTTGTAAAATTATATAGAAATAAAAGGAAAATATTTGTCAAAAATTAAATGGTAGTCAGGAAGTGAGGTAATATTTTACAAGAATACTCGTTGGCATCTGACAAGAAGAAACGGATGGTAAAGAAAATTTGCATGTTCGTGTCAGAAATCAAGGCAGTAGAACCAAAAACATCAGCTTTGTATCCAGGAAGCACCGTATACACAAAGTGTTTACTCCTCACATACAGTAAAACATCTAAACTGCTGGAGATCCACACATCGACAAAATAAATCATCCAAAATTGTTCAGTGTTAAACAAATTGATCACGGGAAGTAAATGTTTTAATTCTTGCCTAATGTAAAAAGTGATTATATTATCTTTCACACAACTTGCCGTTTTTTGTATATGGCAACGACAGGTGTGGAATACTTACGATAGTAATCTGAAGGGTTTTTATAGGCGGGACATGGGTACTCAATAAATGCGAAATATGGCAACATCTCTCTCCTCCTGCCGAAGTACATTAGGCGACCTGTGGATATGAGGGCCACGCGTGATATCATTGTGAAGATCTCATACGTGGGAGGCTGTATCGTCAGAATCTGTGGAAATACATGATGCTGTCAATAGGAGACTTCAAACAAAATGGTATCAAACCAAAACAACACAAAATTGTTCCCTACATGCACAAAATATTTGACAAGTAAATGCAGATATTCCTGCTTTCACTGACCACAATCCTGCCTCGACATGCCCACTGTCTCAGGTACTCGACGAGGAAGAAAGTGTCGAAGATGTCCATGCCTCGAGTGGGCTGGTCAAGGAGGATGACATCTGTCTCTAGCAAGAGATGACATGCCACGTTGAGGCGACGTCGCTCACTCAAAGTCAGGTCCTTGACTCTGGTGTGTCGCACCTGTTCAAGTCCCAGGTCATTGATCAGACCATTGATCTGGAGGGCAAAACCAAGGAGTTAGTTAGATCATCATCAGTGTCTTCATCTGTGGATACGATGCAATTGTTAGTCTACCTTTTGAGGATTTATCAATTCTTGCATCAGAAAGGTAAGATTTGAGAATTAGCCAAGTCGTCATGCATTGACCACTGCTCTCACCTGAAGGTAAGGCTGAAGAGTTAATCCAGCTCTAATTGAACAAATGAAAGCATTCTGGAAATTATAATTTTAAAAACTTGTACCACTGTCAATCTATGGAAAAGAACAAACCCTATTGTAAAACCTCTGGTAAAAATGCAGCTTTCACTGTTCTGGGTGATAAGATGATTATCTGTTGAAGTTAATAAACCAGCATTTGTCAACAAGGTGTTATTTACCAACTTTCAGGAAGACTGCCATGGGAGGACAATAGGGCCAACTCTGATCCGCCTGTGACAGTCCCTTAACACCCGTCTGTCGCCATGAAAAGTTTAACGAGGCTAGCCCCAAGCATTTGGCCTCTGACTTTTAACACACATACATACATATTTTATATTTATATATAAATATATAAATAAATAAATAAATATATATATATAATATATTACACATATATGTATATTTCTGGTCCATTTTGTAAAAGCGTGAACAAGAGCTTCGTGACAGGGGCGGCAAATATAGCACGATAAATGATGTGTGTTCAATTGTGTGAATAAATACTCACCCTAGCCTTGACCTCTCTGACCCTGGAGAGGTCACCGGAGGAGCGGAAGAAGGAGTGGAGCAGCAGCGTCTGGCGAACACTCATGTCAGGGCAGAAATTAACATCCTGCTGCACGTAGGCTGACCGCGCCGCCACCTGGTGGGGGGGTCAAGAATGATAATGGAGGTCAAGAATTATAATGGAGGTCAAGGATAATAATGGGGGGTCAAGGATGATAATGGTGGCAAGTTGTGGTGGCGAGAGGTCCTCATAACTATGGTGGTAATCAACATTATACACCAATTCTATTGTTAGTGAGGTTCGGTGGGAGTAAATGATAATGATGATGATGATGAGTCATTAATGATAATAGCGATCACCTTGTGCAGGCGATGAGTCACAATAATGTAGCTGAAGTATGTTGACCAGACCACACACTAGAAGGTGAAGGGACGACGACGTTTTGGTCCGTCTTGGACCATTCTCAAGAGGATTGTCAACGTCGAAACGTCGTCGTCCCTTCACCTTCTAGTGTGTGGTCTGGTCAGTGATCACCTTGTCTTTACTTGCAACATCTGTAGCCCCAGTTAAGAAAGTGTCTGACAAGAATAAGATCTATAATCAATTGCATGAACTTGGGTATTGCAAGAGGTTCCTTGCAGTGTCTGAGAGTTGCTCAAGTAATCACCAATAGGCTGCAGGTCATTATTTGGTACAGTGTAAAGAAGACCTCAAGCTGTACATACACAACAATCTTTGATTTTCAGTTACTCAGATAAAGTTGGCAAGGACTTTGCAAATGTTTACTAGGAAAAAACAATGTTGAATGCATGGGCCTTTTATAAGAAACTTTGCAATGATTGTAACAAAGTGTATGATAGTGGCATAAAACCCAGTATTACTGAACACAAGATGGCTACTTGTAACTCCAGGGGGTCAAAGGTCAGAAATAAGCAAGTCTGGGTTAGTAAAATAATAGAAGCTAGTGTAGGAGGGGGTGGGGGGAGTCGCCGAGAGGTCAGTGTGTGGGGGCGGAGAGGGAGGAAGGAAGGGCATTACCAGAGGAAAGCGCCAAACCATTACTACTACATAGCACTTGGAAGGGGTCAGGATAAGTATTTGGGATTCGACGGAAGGAAGGAATGGTGCCCATCCACTTAGACGGTCGGGGACTGAACGCCGACCTGCATGAAGCGATACCGTCGCTCTACCGTCCAGCCCAAGTGGTTGGGCATATCACGGAGAGGTCAGTGTGTTGGGAGGGAGAAGGGGGTGGAGCTAAGATGGCCCACTAGGCGTAACTATAGCCAGGAGAGGCGCGAGCGGAGGAAATAACTGACCTTAGCGGGCTTGGTGATGTTGCCATTGAGGATAAAGTCCCCCCGGAGGACCCCACGCCACCTGGTGTGTCGGTCAGCCAGCACATCCAGGAGACACGAACCCTCGCTCTCTGCAACAGTTAAGTTCACTTCATTATGCAATCCATGCAACCAATACCCATCCTGGGGGGCGGGCGGGGGTGGAAACACTTACACAGGCACATTAGATTCAGGAACTGAACCACAAAATTCATTTGGCTAAGCAAGTTACAGTTTTGATAAGCTAGTTACACAGTTTAATGAATGATTAGACTCGACAACGACCCCAAGTGCAAGTGCAGTAAGTTAAGCAACTTATATAAGGTAGGTAATTTTCACACAATTAGATTTCCTTATCATGCACACAACCCCACCGACAAAATGGTCCTCTCATATTATCTCACATTCTAGATCGCAGTCATCTGTGTTAACAGAATAATTCATTGTATCCAACACAATTACTACTAATTAAAGGTATACAAATAACGGCAATAACATTGGAGTTCCCATATTGCATGTTAATATCTAGCATGACTATTTGCACTCAACGCTATAATACTTTATAGCAATAGCCTACTGACCACTTCCATAACCACATAACTACCGTCACCTCGTCATCCTGCCCGAAACGCTTTGCGTAATAGTGGCTTTAGGCATTGTATGTACTAGCTCTACCTATAAGTCTACCAATCCTTGTAAAAATTTATTGTATGTATGTACCTTACCTAAATAAAATTGTATTGTATTGTATTGTATTGTATCCTGGACAACCTCGGGAAATAACAAATTGTACGGTAAAAAACAACAATTAAATTAATACAGACCAAGTAATAATATTAACATTAAGAACAGGAATGATAATCTTACTGAAGACTGATGACCTCAAGACTGCTAAAAAAAAATACATTGATAGGTAGATTGACAATTATGTTAAATATATTGTCTTAGGAGACATGGTATTAATGTCGAGTGGCGGGAGATGATATGCCGCCACGTGAGTTACGAGGTGAAGGTAAAGAACTAGTTACACTGGTAAAGAAGTGAAGGTATAGAATGCCCTAAGAAGTGGTGAAGGAAGACAATATACACACAGCCTCAAACCCAGATACGACACAGCCCGATAGTTTCCGTAACCTGTATACCATTTAATACAAGACCGAGAACCACCACCACTTACACAATTGCTATCGTGAGACGGCCCGTCCTCCTAAGGTCTCCCAAACGTCAAGGGAAGTGCACTGATTTATCCTACCCTACCCTACCCTACCAGACGACCCAAAACAGAAAACGGGACAATATGTCAATTTCGCCAGCCGCTACCATGTTTTAGTACGACGATTTTTGGCCTTAAGAGTATACGTTAAAATGCGACGCTCTGTCAGGACGGGTTGCGTGAGCACCACCACCACCATTCACCACACACAACTATCACTACTACTGGGCGACTTATGCTTTTGACCTTTCCATGACTGCTATACCACAGCTGGTTCTTTGTTGTGCGGGTGTACTCACCTAGTTGTGCTCCGGCTCTTTGGTTCCGCCTCTCAACTGTCAATCTACTGCGTGCGTGAGTGCGTGTTCAGTTATTTGTGCATGCAGGATCGACTTTTAGCTCTCTGACTCCGCCTCTCTACCCGCAGGTTGTCTAATGTAATGCCTCCCTACCCATCCTCTCACGTCATATCTACTAGTAACTAAGCCAACTATTGACCGTTTCAAAGATGCAACCCACAACAGCTCTAACTTCCAGGTACCCATTTACAGCCAGGTGAACAAAGTCATCAGGTGAAGGAAATTTCCCAAACTCCTCTGTACTGTCACGGGCATCGAATGTCTAGGACTTGGCCCATTGCGCTACGGAGTGCTCCCGCGCGCGTAGTGAGGTGTGGGAAGGTAAGAGAGCGCCTGCGCTCCTGTGTCTCAACACCATCTTGGCTCCTCTATTGTTTTCCTCGCGTTTATGACCTACTGTAAGACTCCCTAATGATAGGCTCAGGCTTCCTGGAATGAGGAGGAAGGGGAGGGGAGGGAAAGGGGAGGGAAAGGGGAGGGAAAGGGGGGGGAAAGGGGGGGGGGGGAAAGGGGGGGGGGAAAGGGGGGGGAAAGGGGGGGGGGAAAGGGGGGGGAAAGGGGGGGAAAGGGGGGGGGGAAAGGGGAGGGAAAGGGGAGGGAAAGGGGAGGGAGAAAGGAGAAGGAAGGAGAGAAAGGAGGGGGGGGGGTTAAGGGTGATAAGGATAAGGGGTAGGGGGGGGTTAAGGGTGATAAGGATAAGGGGTAGGGGGGTGTGAAAGCTGGGAAAGAAGGGTTCACAATGAGGACGTCGACTCTGCCTCTCCTGTACCCCATGTCGTGTGTGTATTGGGGGGGGGGGAGGACTAGCTGCATGGCGGGCTCCACACTGTCAACACAGCCGTGAAGCAGAGTTGGAAGCCCCGCAACGCTTGACGATGGACATCCAGGTTGGTAATATGGTGGGCGGACACCTCACTCTAGCCACCCCATGGGCCAAACGAGACAAGGGCCATCAACGACCCACCGCCAGGTAGGGGCTGGCGGCCACAAGCACCAGGGGGAACACAGTATATACGGGTCACACGCAACGTGAGAAAGCAGGTTAAGGTCCAGGCCGGAGGGGGCTCAGAAACCTGTTTCTTTTTTGTGTGTGAAGAGAGTCGGAGAGGCAAGATAATGACGCTAGCTTGGGTAAAAGACTTGAGGTAAATGCCTCCACAACATGAGGTAAACGTGGAGCCAGTGAAGGTAAAGCCTACTTAATACTTTAGATAGAAATCTCTGACCGGAAGGTAAAGACCTGACAGAACAAAAGATTGGGCACTTCACATTTGTGATCCGCCAGTCAGCCTCTGGCAGAGTTCCAAGGAAGGTTAGTTCACATCCTGGAGGAACAGACCAGGGTGACAGGTGTTAGGGTGTTGTAAAGATGAGTAAAGGTGTTCCTTCAGGTAAGGCAGTCACTGTGAGGCAGCCGTTGTCGTCCCGTATGTGAACGATCTCCCTGTTGTGTACGACACTGAACTAAGAACTGTTCAGAGTGCTGTAAGATGGACTAAACCAGTTCAAGAGAATGCATCACCTCATCAAATACAAAATGAAGCCGAGATATGCCTCACTGGGCGCGTCTCATTACCCAAAGCTTCCTAGCAATACGTAAGTAATGAAGAAATAATATATATATTTCCTCACTATAATGTTACTTTAGTTCATTTATTATGCACCCCATACCCATCTTGTGGGCGGTGGTGGAAAGGGTTACAGAGGCACATAATGGGTTCAGGGACTGAACCCCACAATTCATTTAGCTAAGCAAGTTACAAAATTCAGTACAAGTCTCACTATAATGTTGGTGATGATTGTAGATCATGAACAAACAAATTTTTACTCTAAAATAATATTTTATAACGAAATTGGACGAAACTAAGAGGCAGGTGGCTGATCGCCACAGGAAGTCGACGATCCAAGCGACAATGTTGTGGCTTTGGGTAATTAGATGGAACCAATTTCGCTATAACATGATATTATTTCAGATTAAAAATATGTTTTTCCAGGTTCTACATTCAGCACCAACATTATAGTGAGTAAATATATCATATTTCTTCATATTAAAACAGTCTCCGTGGTGTAGTGGTAAGACACTCGCTTGGCGTTCCGCGAGCGCTATGTCATGGGTTCGTATCCTGGCCGGGGAGGATTTACTGGGCGCAATTCCTTAACTGTAGCCTCTGTTTAACGCAACAGTAAAATGTGTACTTGGATGAAAAAACGATTCTTCGCGGCAGGGGATCGTATTCCAGGGACCTGCACGAAATGCTACGCGTACTAGTGGCTGTCAAGACTATGACCCCCTTATCTTGAGGTTATCTTGAGATGATGTCGGGGCTTTAGTGTCCCCGCGGCCCGGTCCTCGACCAGGCCTCCACCCCCCAGGAAGCAGCCCGTTACAGCTGACCAACACCCAGGTACCTATTTTACTGCTAGGTAACAGGGGCATAGGGTGAAAGAAACTCTGCCCATTGTTTCTCGCCGGCGCCTGGGATCGAACCCAGGCCCACAGGATCAAGTCCAGCGTGCTGTCCGCTCGGCCGACCGGCTCCCCGCTTCGCTAGGAGGCCCTCAACGGCACTCTTAGCTCACGATGAACAAAACGTTCGTGAGAACCAGTAAGGTGGACAGGGTCAAGGTGTTTGAGGTGGAAGGGGGACGTAGCACCAGATTATATCCAGACGATCCACCGAGGAGGCTTTAGAAACATTTCACTCGGTCCGTCTAGACCGAGTGAAATGACGATTATTAGTGATTACTGCAAGCTACCACAAGCTACCACAAGCTACCACAAGCTTCAGAAAGCTTCCTGGCAATACGTTAGTAATGAATAAATATGATATATTTACTCTTTATAATGTTGGTGCTCAATGTACAACACGAAAAAACTTAATTTTAATCTGAAAAAGTATCTTTTTATGAAGACATTAGACGAAAATAAAGAGCTGGTGACGCCAAATCAAGTCGACGATCCAAGCGTCGGTTAGGTTAGGTTAGGTCAGCCTAACCTAACACATCATATTTATTCATTACTAACGTATTGCCAGGAAGCTTTGTGTAGCTTGTGGTAATTAGACGGACCCATTTCACTTGATTAAGGCAGCGTCTGGGATGCTCTTGGACATAGGTTCGAAGCCTCGTCGCGGCCCTTGTGGATTTGTTCATTTAGAAACATTCTTCGGAGTAAGCGTAGCGGAACTGAGTGTGGAGACCTGACCAACGGGCACACTGGCAAGCGACCCCAAGTCTTCACCAAATATTTGTCCACAGTTTTCACCTCAATAATAAGTTATTTTATGCACGATGAATGATCAGGATTATATTGGATGTGTGTAAGCTGGCTGTGTGTACTCACCTAGTTGTGCTTGCGGGGGTTGAGCTCCAGCTCTTTGGTCCCGCCTCCCAACTGGCGGGACCAAACTGTAACTGGTGTACAGATTCCTGAGCTTCTCGAGCTCTATCATATCTACAAAGTGTGTGCGTGGGCGCATGTGTACACGTGTAGTGTGTACACGTGTACTGTGTACACGTG